AACCAAGGACAAAAATCATATGGTCATCTCAATAGATGCAGAGAAAGCAATTGACAAAATCCAACACACATTCATGAGAAAAACCCTACAGAAATTGGAATAGATGGCCTCTGTCTCAACCTGATAATAGCAACCTATGAAAATCCAAAAGCCATGGTCAAAAACTGAAATCCTTCATGCTAAAATCAGGAACAAGACAAGAATGTCCTCTATGAGTAATCCTGTTCAATATAGTTCTGGAAACATTAGCAACAGCAATTAGACAAGAGGAAGAAATAAAAGGAATTATGTTAAGAAAAGAAGAAGTTAAATTGCCTTTATTTTTAGATGACATGATACTCTATATAGAAGACCTGAAGAACTCCACCAAAAGTCTTCTAGAATTAATAACCAAATTCAGTAGACTAGTTGGGTACAAAGTCAACACAAAAAAATCAATAGCTTTCCTGTACACAATTAACAAACTTACTGAAAGAGGAACAGGAGAAACAACTTCTTTCACTATAGCATTAAAAAAAATGAAATACCTAGGAATCAAAATAACAAAAGAAATCAAAGACTTCTCTGAAAACTCAGACTAATGCCCCCAACTATATAAAACAAATATGAAGGGATATGAAATACCAAATAAGCACTAAGACAATTGTAGTTGTGACTTTACTACCTCACTGTCACAATTAGACAGTTCATCTTGACAAAAAAAAAAATCAACAATGAAATACTAGAACTAAAGCAAGCTTCTGACACAGGTCATTCTCCAAAATGGACCACATACTATATCATAGAACATGTTTAAATAAATGCAAAGGAATTGAAGTCAACCCTGTATATTATCAGACCATAGTGCAAATAAGCTGGAGATCAATAACATAAGAATCTGCCACAACTTCACAAACACAGAGAAACTGAATAACACACTCCTAAACAACCAATGGGTCATAGAGGAGATTAAAGAAGAAATTAGACAGTTTTTATAAATAAATGACAATGCCAATACAACATACAGGAATGTATGGGACAAAATGAATGCAGTTCTACAAGGGAAATTATGAGCAGTGAATGTCCACACTAGGAAAACAGAGCAAACTCAAATAAACAACCTAATGCTGTCTATTAAGCTTCTAGAAAAATAAGAGCAAGAAAAACCCAAAGCTCATAAAAGGGAGGAAATTATAAAGATCAGAGCAGAAATCAATGCAATGGAGACTAAGAAAATGTAATGAAAAAAAATCAAAGAATTGAAGAGTTTCTTCTTTGAAAGAATAAATGTAATTGATAAACCCTTAGCCATTCTTTTCATAAAAGGAAAGAAAAGACTAAAATCTATGAAATTAGAAATGAAAAAGGTGAAGTCACAACAGATCCAGTAGAAGTCCAGAAGATCTCAATACCTACTTCCAGACCCTGTACTCTAATAAAATGGATATTATAGAAGAAATGGACAGATTTCTAGTACATATTCATTATCAAGTAGAAAAAAATCTAAATACTCCAATTAGAGTGAAATTGACAATCAGTGAAATTGAAAATGTTACTAAAAATTTACCAAAAGAGAAAAGCTGAGGTCCTGATGGATTCACTGCTGAATTCTATCAGACATTTAGAGAAGAACTATTGCCACTACTCTTTTCAACTGAAAAGAGAACTACCAGCCAATCTCCCAAATGAACATGGATGCAAAATTCTTCAGTAAAGTACTGGCAAGCAGAATACAGAGGGTCATCAAGATAACACACCCTGATCAAGTCAGATTTATCCCAGGGATGCAAATATGTTTCAATATACATAAGTCAATAAATGCAATACACTATATTAATAGAGTCAAGGACAAAAGACTCTGCAGAAAATTGGATAGATGGTCTTTTTTCTCAACTTGATGAAGGCTATCTATGAAAAACCAACAGCCAACTTCATACTGAGTGGTAAAAACTGAAAATCTTTACAATAAAGTCAGGAACAAAACAAGGATGTCCACCATCACCACTCCTGTTCAATATAATTCTGGAAACATTAGCCACAGCAATTATATAAGAGAAAGAAATTAATGCAACAAAGATAGTAAATGAATTTAAAGTGTCATTATTTGCTGACAATATGACACTCTACATAGAAGACAAAAAAACAATCTGCCAAAGGACTTCTAGACTTAATTGACAGATTCAGCACAGCAGCTTGATACAAGATCAACACTCAAAAAACAAAAGCCTTCTTCTACACAAATAACAGACACACTAAGAGAGAAAACAGGGAAACAGTTCCTTTCACAATAGCATCTAAAAAAAGAGAAATACCTAGGAATCAACCTAATGAAGGAAGCAAAGGACCTCTATCATAAAAACTACAGCACTCTAAAAATAGATTGAAGAGGATATAAGAAGATGAAAGACATCCCTTGCTCCTGGGTAGGAAGAATGAATATAGTGAAAATGGCCATAATTCCAAAACTGTGATACAGATTCAATGCAATTCCAATTGAAATTCCAACAGTATATTTCACAGAACTGGATAAAATAATCCAAAAATCCGTTTGGAACCAGAAGAGACCTAGAATACTAAAGCCATTGAAGGTAACAGAGACATGACAGCAAGTATCACAATCCCCAACTTGAAACTATACTACAAAGCCTCTGTGATAAAACAGCATGGTACTTGCAAAGAAACAGACCTGAGGATCAGTGGAACAGAATGGCAGATGCAGAAACAATTCCAGAAATATTCATCTACCTCATGCTTGACAAAGGAGCCAACCATCCTCACAAGAGGAAGATAACCTCTTCAATAAATAGTGTTGGAAAAACTGGAGTTCAACTTGATAAAGATTAACCCTAGTCCCTCATCTTTCACCATGGGTTAGACTAAAATCCAAGTGGATTAAAGATTTAAATGTTAAAATAGAAACACTAACCTTGCTGGAAGATAAATTAGGTAGTACTCTTGAAGAGTTTGTTTTAGGAAAATACATTATGAACAAATGCTCACTAGCACGGGAAGCAGCACAAAGAATCAACAAGTGGAATCTCACCATTTTAAAAAACTTCTGCACTGCAAGAGAGCTAAGATACAACCTACAATGTGAGAACAAATATTACCATTTCTTATAAACTTCTTCAAGTACTTCACAAGGACTCTGATCAAAAACTTTCTTCATTTATTCTGCAGAAAACATTTCCCTACAGTAATTAGTAAACCACTTTTTAAGGATTAATCACTGACATGGAATCATGATACTCTGAAAAATAGTCATATCAATTTCAAAAAAGCTCATTACAAAGTGTGAAAAAGTTTGAAATGTAAAAGAATAAATGAGACTATCCTTATGTAAATATTTCCCCAGCTTGAAATTTGTACATTCTTAGAGTTGGAGATATAATTCAGTGGTGCAGTACATGCTTAGCATGCACAAAGCCCTGGGTTGAATCCCTACCAAACACAACTATAAAAGAAATTTGTATGTTTTCATTCTTTTTTAATTCTCTTTATAAAACAAAACGCATACATGTGAGTAGGGAGAGTAGTCCTGGTAGACCTCTTGCCAAGCATAGGAAAAGCTTTGTGTTTAATCCCCAACACACACAGATAAATGCATGTATATTATGTATATTCAGAAAATTGTAATTCTACTATGAATACATTTTTCTCTGACTGTAAATATTATCTCATTTTATTAATCATTTGCTCCTCAGTTTTCATGCTTGTTTATATCATAGTCATTTAGCACTCTCTACTTTGCTTTACCTTATATCTCCACATTACGTATCTAAATTGCTTCAATGTTTCCTTTATGAATAACTGCTACAAGTATTGCTTATGCCACCTTAGTTATTTTTCTGCATGTGATTTCACAAGAATTTGTCATGAAGCAAGGGGAAACAGATGAAAATTTGGTTTCTTCTTGCACTACATTTTAAGAAGTTAATTTATTCCTAATACTCGTACACATTGATGGAATAGTGTGTGATATTTTGATAGATGTGTGCCATCATTCAGTTTCTATTCATTTTTTCTCTTGTCTTCCTTTTGACCTCTTCTCTTTTCCCTTCCACTGATGATCCCATTTCCCTTTACATGAATGGAGAAGTCCTTTAAAAATAAGTTTGCATCTCATGGACCTTTATGTATCTTGATTTTAATTTTGGAATCGTGAGTCAGCATGTGTAGCCACAACAATTGGCTTAAAAAGAGATATAAGGATTTTAATTTTGAATAAGATGTTAATTCACATTGCTGCCAATAAGACTGAACAATATGTTCTAAAAATCATTCGGTGTCATTTAACAGTTCAGTACAATTTTTTTGGTTTTATTTATGAAAAGAGATATTTAACATATTCTTATGTTTCACCATGAGGAATGCCGTTCTACATGCTTAAATAATCCTTTTCTAATTATGAACTAAGTGGGAGCAGATTTCAAATGCAAGTGGCAGAAATTAACAGGCATTATTTAAGTGTGCAGCATATGTGCTCTCCACTTTCTCTTTCAGCTGCTGTTAAGCAGCCATGGTGAGTAGAGCCATGTTCTCCAAGGCAATTTTCCTAAGGTCTCCTACATTGTTCTTGTACCAGGAAGCATCTGTGGTCTTTCATCATTCTAACATTTTCCACACAATCTCTATTACTTCTTTACAGTCTGTCTTCCCAAGTAGAATGAGGAGTTTGGGGATGACACTGTGCCTATTTGGTTTCTCTGTGCACCCAACAATCTGCTGTGAGGTGTGCTAGGCACTTACTATTCTGTTTGGATGGACAGTGATTATTTTTTCACCTGTTTAATACTGTAATATCTTTGTTTAACTGTCAGTGTCAAAATACTCCAATTTGCCTTTATTTTCAAGAAAAATTAAATGCAGCTACTTGTGAAGGAAAAAATGTGTATGAGTGTCTGTGTGCAGGTCTAATTTCCACATTTCCTATAACTTTGTTACTGTGAGTCAGATATTCTGAATGAAGGCCATGGCATACTTCCTGCTGAAAGAGCGAAGCAAACAGAACCAATGTTTACCTTAGGCAGAGGTTTGGCAGGTTTGCAGTGGAGTCCTCCAACAAAATCAAAATTGGGTAAGGATGGGCGAGGGAATTCCAAATCCCAGTAGGTTCGAATGAGCCACATTTCTGCTTTCCCCATTATCTCTGATAATGTAGTGGGTCTTCCTGAAGAGGAAAAATGACACAACAGCTATGGAATGTGAGATGACTGCCAGGTGAATATGCATGCACCAGGTCTTTTTCTGAAACACTTTCCAATGGTGTAGCAGAAGCTGTTTAAAAGTGCCTGTGTTTGATGATAGCAATTTATGATTCTATATGTATGTTTATATGTACAGTTGTATATACACATACCTATCTCATGTGTACATAATATCTACAAATGTACATGTATCACATATTTGCCAGTCTCATATATATATATATTACAATGTATGAAAGTCATTGCACAAGATATTTGTGAGAGCAGTCTAGGTCTATAACTCACCTCAGTTCATTTACAATCATAAACAAATGTCTAAGTAAACCAGTTTATGTATATTTGCATTCTTTCTAAAGTTGCCTAAATACCAACACAAATATAAAGAAACATTTTAATTGCTTTATCATTTAATTTTTTACTACTCATAGAAACATCTTTCTTGGGAACACTCCATTTGGTTTGTAAAATGTAGAAAGTGGAATTTTGACCCTTGGTTTTCTGTGAACTAAGAATTTTCAGCGTGGCTAAATTATATGTAACTACTAGCTACTTTAGGTTCATGTTAAGAGCTTAAGAATATTTAGTTATTATACAAATATGTTGTCAAATAAGAGCTAGAAAAATTTAGAAATATAAATCTTTAAACAGATGGAGAAGGAAAGTGGAATCAGTTAAAGTTCAATTTCTATATATACTCTCTGTCTAGGATAGAGGCTGTATATCTACCAAGTGTGAGGAAAGCATCAAATAAAATAACAATATAGTTTAATTTGTAAATGAAGAAATTAATCTACATTAGGAGAAACAATTTCTTAAATGCTATCTAGGCACACAAATATGGGAAATTTCTCAATTTACATGTAAATATTCATGAAGACATATAGAGGATTTTAAAATTACTGTTTTCAGAGATGAAACAACATGGATAATAAAATGCTTGAAAAGTATTTATATGCTTAATGAAATCCTCAGTGCTATCTATGCATTATTGATGTATGAATTCTTAAAGTGTTCTGTGCAAGTGATGGCCAGACCTGTATAATGCAGGGTGTAGTACCACCTTTTCCAGAATATTTTGAAATTGATAGAGTATTTTATACCTTTATTTCATCATTACATTAGAAAAGATGAACTCCTCTGATGTTTTCTTTCAAGCAGACCATCAAAGTTACAGAAAAGTTAGGAGTTCAGAATAACTGAAAACAACTTACCTAATACTTCACTGTAAAACTGATTCCATTTCTTCTCATTAAATGCTTGGAACCAAAAATCAAAATAAAGCACATATATCATATTTTTTACCCTCTCCATGAATGTCATTTGATCAGTTAATTCTGAGAGAGCTACAGGCACATAGGAAGGAGGGAATGGAAGTTTTCCACTGTACTTTTCATACGTGTAGCCAGGAAATGAGCGGTGAGTGTACACAAAGGGTATATGCAGCAGCTCGGCAATCAGCTCACCACATGGAGTGAAGGCATCTGCAAGAAGAACATCAAAACTTGGTTCTTGTAGTTTTGACATAAGTTCCTTGTTCAGAACTAATTCTTTACAAGTAATTTCCATGTAGCTAGAATCTACCCACATTATTTCTTGCAATATTGAAAAATATGTCCACTTTGATTCTTTTGGTAGCTCATAAATCAATTTCCTGAGTTCATCTGTAAAGATATACTCCCAATCATCTCTACATAGTGATGTAGGATATGTCTCAAATTTAATAGCAGATTCCTTCTCCACATCCAAAGAAATTGAAACTGAAGATCGCAAAACAGTCACCTCATGTCCCTTTTGGACAAGTACATCCAGGATGGTCTTTAAGTTGATCCAGTGGCTGTATTCCATGGGCCACACCAGCACTTTGCCACAGCTCCCAGAACCCAAGTAACTACTCAGCTGAAGCAGCAGGAGAATAGCAGTGAGTTTCATGGACATCCTGGTGAGAATGGCCTTTCCTTTCAACCTGTGTTCCCTCTGCAAGATCTTGCTGATTGGTGTCCAGGGAGAAATCGTAAAGTAGTTAAAATGTAACTTAGTTAAAACAGAATTTGTACTCCCCAAAGTAAATACATAAAAACACAATCAAGGTATGTGGATGCTGGGGCAAAGAGCAAATGTGGGATGACCTCGCCTTTAGGTGATGGTGTGTAACCACTCATCCAGGATCATAAGTAATGTTTTACAGGTAGTGTGATGACCTTACATCTGCAATTCACCTTGTGCTATGAGACATTTTGGCATAGGTAAACAACAGTGACAACTTAAAAAAAATAAAGAACCACGGCAAGTGAAGCGACTTTTCTACAATGCTAATTTACACAGAATTAGTAATATAGTCATAAAAATGGTGAAAGAAGATTTTTGCATAGGTTGATGACAGATTTGTACAATCATTGCTGACATATTAACAAAAGTAATACATCTTATGAATTTTAAAAGCCTTAGTTTAACAGCATTGAATACAATTGCAGAAATATAAATTCTCCAATGTAATAAAATTAAGAGCAATTAATCATCATAGAGATCAACTTTTATCTATAACCATTCCAAGTTCCTCAGAGGTGTGCAACAACTAAATTCCCTCCTGTCTTTAGAAGTTTATTTATTTTAAGCATTTCATAAAAATGGATCATGTTTTACATGGTTCTCTGATTAGATTCCATGCTTATGTAATATTTAAAGCTTCACTGATGTAATATAGTATGGATCAATATTATATATCTTATAATTGCCAAATCATATTTTATTGTGTGTATATGGCATATTTATTGATTTGTTATTAAGTGGATGGACATTTGTTTTTTCCCATCTTTTGGGCTTTACAAGGGATGTAATTTATTAATATTCTTTTTTTCCCATTAAGTTTATTGTATATTTTAGGTAAATAATACAGTTAAATTTTTCATTCGAATCTTGTTCCTTTACATGCTGTATCTTAGTTCCTATTTTTTCCCCATTCCTAGGGCCTCCCTTCACCTCATCTACCCTTCCCTATTTACAAAGACTTTGTTTCCATTTTTTTGTTTTCTCATATTTTTCTTTTACCTTACCATTGCCCTACCCCTCCCACTTTCCCTACTCACTTAATGCTTTTCTTCTTTTTACACAATATCAATTATATATTTTAAACCCTATTTACACTTTTAGATTTTCACACCAGAAAACCTACTCAGTAATTAAACATATATATTCTATATATGTCACTTAAGATTATAGCCTCAATGTGTACTTAGCTATAAATGACTAGTTTCTCATACTTTATGGCTGAGTAGTACTGAATTTTATAATTAAAAAATCTTCTTTATCCAGTCTTCAGTTGATGGGCAATTGGACTGTTTCCAAGCTTTAGCTATTAGAAACTGTGGCACTATAAACATGGGTGAATGTATATCACTGTGGTATGATTATTTCAATTCTTTTGGGAAGATACCAAGCAGAGGAATAGCTGGGTCGAATGGGACTTCTTGTCCTATTTCTTTGAGGTATCTCCATATTAATTTCTACAGTGGTTTCACTAGTCTGCACTACCACCAACAATGAAGAAGAGTTCCTTTCTGCATGCAACACTACCATCATTGGTTATTGCTTGCTTCATTTCTTGACAAAAGCCATTCTTTCTGGAGTGAGGTGGAATCTCAGTGTTGTTTTCATTTGCATCTCTCAAATAACCTGTGATGTTGAACATTTTTTCTTGTGTTTATTTGCCGCTTTAACTTCTTTGTCTGAGAAATATCTGTACATTTCACATGTACATTTTAGAATTGGGTCTTTTTATATTTAGGAGGGTCTGATTTTTTTCTTTATATATATTATATGGTAGACCTTTGTCTGAGGAGCAGCTGGTAAAAAATTTTCCCCCATTGTAGGTTGTCCCTTAGCACTGTTGGTGGTTTCTCTTGCAGTGCAGAGCTTTTAAAAAAGATGAGATCCTAGCTGTTGATTCTTTGTGCTACTTCCTGTGCTGTGGAGGATTTGTTGATAGTATTTTCCTACACCAATATCTTAAAGAGATTTACCTCACTCATCTTCCAGCATGTTTAATGTCTCTATTTTAATATTTAGATCATTAAACCATTTGGGTTTTAGTTTAGTGCATGGTGAAAGATACAAGTCTAGATTTAATCTGTGGCAAGTTGAATTCCAGTTTTTCCTACACCATTTACTAAAGAGGCTATCATTCCTCTAGTGAGGTGTTTGGCTCCTTTGTCAAGGATGCATAGCTGAGTATGTCTGGAATTGTTTCTGCATCTTCTATTCTATTCTGCTGATCCTTGGGTCTGTTTCTTTCCCAGTATCTGTTTCTTTATCACAGTGGCTTTGTAGCATAGTTGCAAGATGGGGATTGTTATACCCCCTGCCATGTCTCTGTTGCCTTTTACTATTCTAGGTCTCTTCTGATTCCAAATGAATTTTTCGATTATTTCCTCTAGTTCTGTGAAATATACTGTTGGAATTTCAATTGGCATTTCATTAAATCTGTATAGCAGTTTTAGTAGTATGGCCATTTTCACTATGTTGAATCTTCCCACTCAGGAACAGGGAAGATCTTTCAATTTTCTTATATTCTCTTTGATCTCTTTTCTCAAAGAGCTGTAGTTGGCTTTTTTCATTAGACTGATTCCTACATATTTCAGTTTTTTGGATGCTATTGTGAAAGGAATCATTTCCCTAATTTCTCTCTCAGTGAGTCTTTTATTTGTGTAGGATATTGATTTTTGATTGTTGACCTTGTATCCACTACTCTAGCTATTTTAATGAATTTGTCAATTAATATTTTTTTTTTTTTTTTTTTTTTTTTTTTGGTATTGGAGGTCAAACTCAGGTCCTTGCATTTGCCAAGCAGGCACCAGAAGCACTGAGCTAAATCCCCAGCCCTAGTCTAGAAGTCTTTTGGCAGAGATTTTGAATCTTCTATGTAGAGTATCATACTTTCAGCAAATAATGAGTGTACTTCTTTCTTTCCTATCTTTATTTCATTAATATTTTTCACATGTCTAATTGCTATGGTTAATATTTCCAGAACTATATTGAACATGAATGGTGATAGTGGACATCTTTGTCTTGTTCCTGATTTTAGCATGAAGGCTTTCAGTTTTGGCTATTTAATATGATGTTGACATTTGGTTTTTCATAGTTAGCCTTTATCAAGTTGAGATAAAGACTATCTATTCCAATTTTCTTCAGGGTTCTTATCATGAATGTGTGTTGAATTTTGTTGAATGCTTTTTCTGAATGTATTGAGATGACTATATGGTTTTTGTCCTTGACTCTCTTAAATAGTGTATTACATTTATTGATTTATGTATATTGAACCATCCTTGTATCCCAAGGATGAAGCCAACTTGGTAGGGGTGTATGATCTTCTTGATGACCTCGTATAAGATGTTTGCCAGTATCTTATTGAGGAGTTTTGCATCTATGTTCATTAAGGAGATTAGCCTGTGTTCACATTTTTAGTTGGGTCTTTCCCTGAATTTGGAATAAAATTAACACTTGTTTCTAGGAATCAATTTGAAAGTGTTGCTTCCCTTTCAATTTCATTAAAATGTTTAAAGAGTAGTCATGATAGTTCTTCTCTAAATGTCTTGTAGAATTCAGCAGTGAATCCATCAGGACCTGGACTATTCTTTGTTGGTAAACTAATTACCATTTAAAACTCACTGATTGAAAGTGGGGTGTTTAGAATTTTTTTATCTTCTTTGTTCAACTTTGGTAATTCATAAATATCAAGAAATTTGTACATTTCTTCTGTGTTTTCCATTTTATTAGATTACAGATTCAAAAAGTAGGGATTGATGATCTTCTTGATTTCGGCTGGATCTGTTGTGCCTCGCCTTTTTTTGTTCTTAATTGCATGGATCTGATCTGAGCCTTTTCTTTCCTTTTTTGATGAGATTGGCTAAAGGTTCATCAATTTTATTTATTCTTTTGAAAAACCAACTCTTGAATTCATTAATTTTTTGTATCATTCTCTTAGTTTCCATTGCATTGAGTTCTGCTCTAATCTTTATAATTTCCTCCCATGTACAAACTTTAGGTTTTTCTTGCTTTTCTTTCTCTAGGAGCCTCACATTCATCATTAGGTTGTTTATTTGAGCTCACACCATTTTTCTAGTACAGGCATTCATTGCTATGAATTTTCCAATAAAAGTGCTTTCATTGTGTTCCATAGATTCCTGTATGTTGTACTGGCATTATCATTTATTTGTAAAAAGTCACCAATTTCTTTAATTTCTTCTGTGACCCATTGATTGTTCAGGAGAGTGTTGTTCTATTTCTATGTGTTTGTGGAGTTTTTACAGTTTCTTATGCTATTAATCTCCAGCTTAATTGCACTATGGTCTGATAATATACATGGGATAACTTCGATTCTTTTAAATTTATTTAAACATGTTCAATGAGCTAGTTTGTTAGCTATTTTGGAGAATGACCCATGTACAGCCTGAAAGAATGTATATTCTGATTTTGTGGGTGGGACGCTTTAGACATCTATTAAGTTCATTTGTTCAAAACTGTGGTTTTCCAGTATTTTGTTGTTGATTTTTTGTGTAGGTAATCTGTGTATTTGTGACAGTGGGTTGTTTAGGTCTTCCAGTATAATTGTATTAGTGCTTATTTGGTTTTTTATGTTACTTAATATTTGTTTTATATAGTTGGGAGCATTAATATTCGGTGCATATAGATTTATTAATATCATTTCTTCTTCTTGGATTGTTCCCTTTATAGAGAAGTAGTTGCCTTATTTGTCTCTCTTAATTAGTTTTGGCTTGAAATTTACTGTGTCCATGAATAAAATAGCTACCCTGCTTTTTTCTTGGCTCCTGCTCACAAAGAACTGTTTTCCATCATTTCACTTTCTGTCTATGAGTTTCTTTTTTAATTAGGTGTGTTTCTTGTACACAATATATTATTGTATTTTTCTTCTTAATCCATTCTGCCAATCTATTTCCTTT